GGTGGCTCCCTCCCTCTGGAACAGATTGTCCTCCACTCTTTCAAAAAGCCCTGGGGATCTCATTTTGCCAGCAGGCTTGGGGAACCCCAGAACGATATGGAGCCCATCCGTTGTTTTGTTTGAGGAGGGTCGGTGCTTGTTGGGATTTATATTTGGGGTTTTAATTCTGGTAAGTCATCCGGAGTGAATGAGTTGGGCAGTCATATAAAGGTCTTAATAAAATAAATCTCTAAATCTCAAGCAAAACCACCATGGCTTAGTCTACGGCATTGCCTAAACCTGCTTGCCCATCACACCTAGCATGCCCTAATGGTATTCTCCAAGTCTCAGGCAGCCTGGGATAATGGTTAAGGTGTCGGACTCAATTCTTGTTCACCTTCGGCACAGAAGTTCAAAGTCTGACACCAGCAACCCTGCCTAATGTGGAAATGGTTGTGGGGAAAAACAGGAAGGAACATTATATCAGTTTAAGCTGCAGAATGGAAAGGCAGGCTATATATCATTCATGTCCGTATGGCTTTCCTGGAGCCTGTGGAAGGTTAAAACGGCCTTCCCCAGCCCCCCCGGAGATAATACCAAGCTCAGCTTGAAGGCGAGTAGTGTGGCGCGTGTGTGGGGGAGCATTGAGGGGGTTGTGCATACATGTGCATGTGGGAGTGCACTTTGCATTATGGGTGCAGGCGCTACCATGCGCGCACCCTTACATTTTTGGCACCCAACAACAAAAAGGCTAGCTATCACTGTCCTAGCAGTCATCTTCCATGGGATGGGATGGGGTGTAAAAGCCCTCTCCCCCTTAAATTCAGTAATTGGCTGCATCCCCTTTGGCTGAAATTGGAGTGGTGAGGTCGCTTAGAGGTAGAGCTCTCGCCTCACAATCAGGAGGCTGTGAGTTCGATCCTAGGTAGAGGCAGGTATTTCTCTCTCTGGGCGCACTGAACAAATCTCTGCATTGGCGACAGGAAGGGCATCCGGCCATTAAAACACTCTGCTAGCTCCAGCCAGTTGCCCAGACTCCACCACGCAAGGGATTATGGGGTTGTTAAATGACGATGATCTTTGGCTGAAATACCTGCAACTAAGAACTGTATTTCATGCAATTGGCAATAAGCCTCTTCCACTACCCTGGCCCATCCTTCCACGTCAAACTGCTTTAATGTTTTCTGGCATGTCCTGCTCGGTTCAGAGCCTGTCAGAACAATTTTATGAGCTTTCAGTTGGTCATTCCAGTAGAAAGTATGATGCAACTACCTTCATGCTTGAACAGCTAGTAAAAGGTTCTCATTATGCAATGCAGTGTCTGGTTTCCACTGTCTAAAAAATTCCATTTTCAATGTACAGATAAGCCTCAACTGATAACAATACATTTAGTGGCCATTCAAAGTTAAAACGGCACTGAAAAAAGTGAGTTATGGCCATTTTTCATATGACCGTTGCAGCATCCCCATGATCAAAATTCTGATACTTGGCAAATGACTCATATTTATGACGGTCGCAATATCCCAGGGTCATGTGATCCCCTTTTGTAACCTTCTGATCAGCAAAATCCAAGGGGAAGCCATATTCACTTAACAACCGTCTCATTAATTTAACAACTAGTGATTCGCTAAAAAACTGTGACAAGGTAGGTCGTAAAATGGGGCAAAATTCACTTAACAAATGTCTTGCTTATCAACAGAATTTTGGGGCTCAGTTGTGATTGTAAACTGAGGACTACCTGTATAGAGGTAGTCTATACGGTAGTCCTTCTATATTCTATAGAAATATAGAATATTTCTCCACAAATCTTGTGCCATCTATTGGGTAAATATGAGATGAACATCAGTGCTCATCACAGGAAGCCATTGGTTTCTTCCTTGCTATTCTCCACAAATCCCCCCTTTTATGTCTTTCTTTGCAGGGGATAGAAATTAAGAGCTGTGGTGGGGTAATGGTTAGAATGCAGTATTGCAGACTAACTCTGCCCACAGCCTGGAGTTTGATCGTGACCGGCTCAAGGTTCACTCAGCCTTCCATCTTTCCAAGGTGGGTAAAATGAGGACCCAGATTATTGGAGCCAGTATACTGACTCTGTAAATCGCTTTAAAGAGTCCTATGAAACGGTATATATATCTAAGTGCTATTACTATCCTCTCAATTTAACCCAGAGGGTAACAAGTTGCACTTCACGCATTCCATATCTGGCTTAATTTTAAAAAAAAATCAGAAAAAGAAGCAACTAGTTTATTTTGGCTCCAAACCTAAGAAGAGTTTCATCATATTATATCTCAGACAGGAAAAAACAAGGAAATTTATAGGCTGGATTTGATTAAGTCATGTCCGACTCTTCGCAGCCCCATGGACCATAGCACACCAGCCCACCCACCAGAGGTGGTGTTCAGCCGGTTCGGACCAGTTCATCTGAACCAGTAGTGGAAATTGCAGGTGGGCTCTATGCCGTTCTATTTTTGAGGCCGGGTGCATGTGCAGAAAGTGTGCACGTGAGTAAAGCGCATGTGCGGAAGGGTGAGCGCACGGAGAACCGGTGGTAACAAAATGTGAAACCCATCGCTGCCACTCACCCACCCCCATCCTCCACTATCTCCCAGAATCTGCCCAAATTCATGTTCATTGCATCAATGCCACTATCATCAGCTAGATTAGGAAGTTAAAAAGAAAAGGGGGAAAAACAACAACTTCCGTATCAATTACCAAGAAAACTGCCCGGTTTTCCCGAAAACAAGACCTCCCCAGATAATAAGCCCAATTGGGCTTTTGAGCGCATGCGCTAAAATAAGCCCCCCTCTGAAAATAAACCCTCCCGGAAAATATTGCAACACAGTAGCAGCCATGAGCTGACCCCGCTCACACCGCCTCCTGCACCTCAAAAATAATGAAACCTCCCTGAAAATAAGGCCAAGTGCTTATTTCAGGGGTCAAAAGAAAACAAGACCCTGTCTTATTTCGGGGAGACAAGGTATATATGGGCTGCCAACAGTTGATTCAAACTGAAATTTAAGGCATAAAAAACACGATTTTCTTAATAAGAACAGGGAAGAGATACAGAGCNAGGCCGGCTTGAAAGATGTGCCCCCTCCTAACCATACCAAGGGGCTCTGAATCCAATGGCGATGTCTGTTTTGCTCTGCAAATTCATGGAGAGCTAACCCTAATCCTAAATGGAATTTTCCCCACTGGGATTTTTCCATGTATTTTGCCAGGAAACTTATATAAGGCCGGCTCAAAATGCGTGCCCCCTCCTAACCATACTGACAGGGTCCGAATCCAGTGGCGATGTCTGTTTTGCTCTGCAAATTCACGGAGAGCTAAGGGTACCCATCCTTCAGTTCAGTTTCTTTGTTATTGTTTTGCGTATTTATAACAACTTTTTTACCAGCTGGTTTGAAAGCCCCCGATTGTTGATAGAAGACACAAAGGAACCAGTAATAGGGCATCAAAGGATTGACCCATCAGCTTCAGCTACACCAAAAGTGTCTGTAAGAGTCCCCCAGAATTGTCAGCCACAGAGAGGGAGGAAGGGAGGGGAAGTAAGGAATTCTAGGAGCTGACAGCAAAATCCGCAAGGAACAGACGTCAACCATCCTTCTGTCTGTTTTGCCATTTGTGTTCGGAAGTGGCCTTCTACTTTTGTTTGATTCTGAACAGTCTCCGTCCCCAAAACTCACATCAGCTTTGAGATACTGACTGCAGAGGGAGAAGAATTTGATCCATCACTCTCTCACCCTCTCTCACATCCTCACACCTCCACAGTCAGTCTCACCTTACCCTCCCTCCCTCTCCCCCAGGGGACAGTTCAGTTTATGCCTAGTGGACCTGTTTGATCCCTTTCTAGGCCTCCCTAGAAATCTTAGACAAATTGCATGAGAAAACCCCATTGGAAAAGTCATCTAGGGTTTGGCCCAAAATCCAGCATCACAATTTAGTTTGGAGAGCCTCTTTATGCCTAGTGGACAGCTTTCCACTCTTAAGTCTCCCAAGAAACCCTAGGCACATTGCATAGGAAAACCCCACTGGAAATGGAGAAGTCAAACATGGTTAGGGCTCCATGAATTCAGGCTCAAAAACCAATATTTCAGATCAATTTGAGGAGCCTCTAAAGGTAATTCAGTGCTAATCAAGAAGCCAAAGTAAAATGGGGCATCATAAGGACTTTAACCTAAGCAGGCTTTTGGGACAGCCACCAGCATCGCTATCAGCTTGCCCAAGAAAGAAACATTTGTGTTTTCTCAAAGCAAAAATAACTTTAGGGACCATGATGTCTGCTTATGGAAGTACACGGTTGCATCAGTGTAAAGGAATTCTACTTTTATCTTGATAAAGCTACAAATCCTTTCATGGGTTGAGGATCTCTCTCTCTCCCTCCCTCCCTCCCCAATTACCCCTTTAGAGTGATATCAGTTGGGCATCAGGCAGTTGATATCCACGTTTGCAGCACTTTACTATCATTGCAATAAAATATTACTCCTATTTCAGTGCACAATTAAAAAAAAGCTCAGAAATAACCCTTTAAAATTCCTGACTAGTCAATAAACTTTTATTGTTTAGTGTTATTGTTTCCTACGTGGGCCTTTCCAGCAGGTGCACAAAGGAACCAATCCTGACTGAAGACACCTGCAGTGGCCCCAAGGTCCCCCTGGAGTGCTCTTATTTCAACCGAGCCAAAACTGACATTCTACTTTCAATGTCCTTTTCTTTTTTGTTCCATTAATTATTTTTCGTTGCTTATTCAGTGCAAGAAGAGAAGGCCATGAAAAGGGCGGTGGGAAGGGTTATGTGTATGTGTATATTTTGAAATATTTATTCGCCAGGCTGGAATTAATAGCCTTTGTACAACACATTTTTACATGAGTTTTCAAGATACACCCTGTACACAATCACTAAACCATGACATGGATTTTAGACTGAGCACTGATTTAAGAGCCTTTCTTTCTTCTTTTGGACATTCTTGCAGATGTTGATGAAATAATTTGAAAGGTTTCATTTTCTTGCAGGATTGGAAGGCAAAAGCAAGAAACAAAATTTAACAAAACACCTCAGAAGCATGCAACGTTCATTGTGGAAATATTACATCTCTTCAAAAACTTATAAGATGGGTGTGCCGTTGGTGCTCCTGTTATCGTTACTCTTTTCATTACTACTCCAAGTATAAGTTATGAATTTTGCCTAACAGAAGGGTGGCATTGAGGCCAGTTGTCACTGCTGACCGCTCACCTTTTTACAAAATGCATCCAACCTGTATTGACATGCTAAAATAACAGGTGAGGCCTGGAATCTAAACTGAGCCGTGTTTCAATACAAAAATGTATATTTACAAGATGATACCATATTAAGGAATCAGCTTTCTTCAGAATTGTTCAAGTTCATGATATATAAATATACAAGTATATGTTTTTAAAAAACCATTAGGGTACTTGTGATGTTGCAGAAATAAGTAAGCAAATAAATAAAAGGAACCACCAGTAAACAAGTTACAATTTGAAGAGACAGTATCCAGATATTAGTTTAGTTTAGCAGCAATTTCTAATTCAGGATCTTGCCCAGATTTACACACTCAATTTTCCTTCAATTTCTTCATCATACAAGAGGCTACTATTTTGTTTACTCCCCCCCCCCTCACTGATAGAGGCATACTTTCATATGTAGAATGGCCTATAATTTGAATATTTAATTATCAGGTATGATTTAAATAAAAAGTTAAAAATATATCATTAAAATCTATATGAAATATTTAGAAATGGAAATTCTGAATAGTTCTATATCAAGCACACTAGCTTACATACAATATAAGAGATGTTTACTGTTGACTTTTTCATCCTCAGAAAAAGAAGCCATATCAGCTGGTTACCAGCTACAGATTCACACTCCGCAGTTGCGCCCGAAACGAACGATATAGGCATTTAGGAAAACACAATTCAAGTAACCATAAGGAGCTGGATTTTCATTTTACTGGTGTCTCCAGTGCATCCACTATGTGGTGCTCCTATTTGTTGTGGTAGGCATTGAAGAATTGTGACAGATGCTCCTTCAGAGGGGAGGAAGCAGAGCAGAACGTGAAACAAAACAAATAGCATTTGTGTTGCTCCTGGATACCATTCTTAGTTTAAAGAACTAGGATAACAAAAAATATTTTAGCATTCATCACAGGAACTCAAACACTTTGAGTCATAAACTCAAGCAGATGAAGGGGTGTGTATGTGTGTGTGTGTCTGTTTATGTGATTCTTTCATAGAAATGATCCCTCATTTGTCAATACACATACACGTTCTGTGCTTTAACTCATACTTCAAGTTTCCCCCCCCCCTCCTGAACAAGGCTTATTGCACAACACTATTTTTACCTTCAGCTCAGCAGAGTCACGAGATGTACAATAAAGTTCATTGTGCCACCAAAAGACATATTTTCCAAGAAATCCATATTAGAAGAAGCTTCACTCTCAGATAAGAAATCTTGCTTTTGCCTGATGTAAGAAATAAATATAACACAATTTCTCCCCACCCTATCAGTAGGAAAATGACTGAAATATCTACACATCTTCTTAAATAATAAGGTTCTGTGATTTTGCTCTGATAAAAAAATAACTGCCATAATGCTATTTTTTAATCTTCATTAATAAAAAGGAAACTGCATTAAATGGGTTTCTCCGTTGCATAGAATGATTCTAATACAATCCAGATACCTGATCCCAAGAAACACTGGGGAGGCAATTGCTAGTCCCAGCAACAGTAAAAGAGGGATCAGCTGATAGACAACATCTCCGGTAACGCTCAATTATGTTTGAAGAACGTGAAGAGAAATTCTAGCCTTAATAGAAACCATTTTTCCTAACAACCCTCCAAATTGTCATAAATCAGGCGCATTCCTCAAAGCAGGGCTGTTGCTGCATGCACAATGACGACAGGCCCAAGCAGCCTCGGTCAGCCCCATGCAGGCCAGTGGCTGAGAAACCTGGAGGCCAAACGACATTTAACCCAGGGTAGCAGAATTAAGATTTTTTTAAAAGAACAAATAGACAAATATTGATCTAAATAGTCTCTTACTCTTGACTTCCTCAACCTGTAACAGCAGCCTAACCTTCTCAATTAAGAGTGATAATTAAAGGCTTATTTATAAGCCTTCAAATTGTTGCTTCCTAGTTCTTGAAATCTCCATGACAATGACAAGAGTCATTGTCTTTGTTATAAACATTGAGAAGAACAAAATTGTTATTCAATTGCACGAATTGCGCATCTCATAATTTAAGACTCACACACACCCCTAGACACTTGACACCGAATGCAGGAACGGCTGCTTCAAAAACTGTTTCAGAGATATAGTTTCAGTCCATGTAAGACATTTGCTCTCTTCCTTTTGTGGTACCCATAGGCTGCAGTACTAAATCATTTCTGCATGATTTGGGGGAATGGCCACCTATCCTCAAGGGTCGAATCAAAATAGGCATAATTATCAGGAGACGATTGAAAGTTAAGTCAGAACATTGGCTGGTCGCATACGTTCATAAACCCTATTGCTCCCCATTAATTACGGACACAGCATTAGATAGAAGTAATGGCTAAAAACAAAATTGGGACTGTGAACTATTTTTTTTTGGCTTTTTATTGGGTCATGAAATGTTTCTTTATTAAAACATAAAATATAATTTCAATATTCTCTTTCCTGCATTTATTTTCTAGCCTCTGGAACTCCTGAAAAATGTTCACTGATGAAATTAATTAATTTAGAATATTTAGATATTTAGAGTAATGTGTTTTTATTTATAATTATATATATTTATAATTATTTTAATTTATTTATTGAATTGAACAACAATTGTTCAATTTATAATTTTTAGATATGTTAACTTTAAAGGTAGTAAATTAATCACTGCCACTGCTACTTTGCTGGGCCTATCAGCTTTTGCTACTGCACAGATTCTACCTAAGAAGAGAAAGCCAATCAGCATCATTACAGGCTAGGCCATCATTCTGTTTTGTCCACAGAAGCCATATGTTGATCCATTTGTATTCCTTCTGCAAAATGCCCAGTGGGTGGTAATGAATGCTGCAGGTTTAGATCTTCCAACTCTGTCCTTCTAGGATTCTGTAAGAGACTCTTCCTTAAGCAGGGGGTTGGACTAAATGACCTCTAAGATCCCTTCCAACCCTGTGAATCTATGATTCTCTCTACAAACACCTCCGTTGTTTTGGAACTAAGACGTGGGCTTGCTCTCAGAGACCTACAACACCTTCTCCATGCCCTTTGCTTTTATTCAGCAGAACGGCCCTTAGGAATGGAGGGCTGCCCTTGGGATGAAGTCTGTAATATGCCACTACGCCAACCAAGGACGATGGCACCACATTCGAGAAGTCATGAAAAAAAGAAGATCCAAAACTCCAGAATGAGCCAAGAGCCACTGGCACCGTGAGTGAATCTAAACCTTGGATCACTTCCAACTACCGACCTTTTGATGGCACAAGAAACACCCAGGCTCCTTGTAGTCGACAACAGCAAGACCGGCAGACAGTGACACACAACGACAGCCATATTTGTTTAGAAGCCCTTTGAATCATTGACTCCATTATTTGTAAACAAGAGACTGAGAAAGGCAGGGAGGACAGTGGCTTCTTCCACACACACTCAGGGCTACGTTTTATTTCATGCTATGGTGGCAACTGTACAACAAATCCTGATTCCACCTCCCTCCCCTCTCCCCTCGTTTCTCTCTCTCCCTTTGGACTTCGTATCCCAAGATCATGATTTTGCATTCTTCATGGAGGAACACTGAAATTGTTACTCTGAACAACTGGTACTCCAAGAAAAGAAATATAAACATTGCTACTATTCAAAGTAAAAATAAAAGATACTGCCACTCGCCCCTGAGGCACACCGTCTTACTCTGAATGCTCCAGAAGTACAGAAGAACGGAGGAGAATAATCTTCTGATCAGTGAGGCTAGGAAGGAAGGCAGTCCCCGGGAGCTTTTGCATAAAATGGCCCTCCTTCTGATGGCAGAAGAAACACCCAGGCTCTCTGGGAGTCAGCCTGCCTCCAAACACAGCCAGAACTCCCGCATTCCCCTTGCCTTGGAGCGCAGGAGTGCTGTTCCTTGGCTGCACGGCGGCAAAGGTTTTAACACCACTGAACCCTCAGTTCACTGTCATTATTCGAGTGGATTCATTTTATCATCTGAGCCAAGCGTGATGTTTTTCTTTGGCTGACTTGTTCTTGCTGTTTACACAGTAAAACCAGTGGACTAGCCCTCATGAAAATATGCTAAGTAGCCCGGAACATGTGTTACTTGTTTCATATTTGGCAAAATCTACCTAAGCCTAACGTCAAAGTGGAGTCCCGGAATCACACAAATAGACTTTTCCAGCTTGATCGGTCGGACTTCAAACAAGGACCCCTTAGCTCAATGGGCCTGTGTGGAACTAACTAAAAGTTTGTGCCAGTTTACAATTCTTTTCCTAAGGTCCACTTTATCAAGCCAAATATACGCTTCACCAATCAAGGTTTTCTTCATAAACTTTCCTCCATTGGAAACAAGAAGAATCTAGGAAAAAACGCAGAAAGTGATAAGTATAATCTTTATTGCCATTGTACTTAAATACAATGAAATTGGTTAGGTTTCATACAATTGATAGGTTTCATGCAAGATTAAAAATATACAAGCACCTAAAAAACCCTTAAAAATAAAAATAAATGCTCCTGTCATGTTAACTCTTTGAAGAAAAAAATGCTGTTGCACAACAATTTCACATGGGCTCATCTGTCCAACCTGGTAGCTGAATACTGCCATGGAATATATTCATCATATCTGTCATTTATTTGAGCAATGGCCCATTTCCCCCCCCCCCCAGAGGCAGTTAATAGGAAACTTCCTTCATCCAATGAAAGTTATTATATCACAAAGAAAGAAATTGGCGCTAAGGACTATAATACACGCACATCCACATGCAACATTCTCCCTCCACAGTGCTTTCAAGCTCCAGTCTGCAATCTGGTGACTCTTTGTCAACTGTTTAAGACTGGGAATTTTAAAGAAAAGATAGAAAAAAACTCATAATAATAAAACAACAATTGAGAATCATGAATAAGAAACGTAATCTGTAGCCATCCAATTGGATATCAAATAATTAATTTTGATTGCCAAAAATAAAACAAAGAACAAACAAAATCCAACTCTAAGAAATAGCATTAAATTAATATAAATCATCAAAATGCATCAGATAAATTAAATAATCCATAATATATCTACTCTCATACAATATTGTTTATTTTTTTAGTTTGTACAGATCATGAAATCTCTGTGAAAGGGAAACATTGTGTGATAAAGGAGGGTCACAAAGAAATAAATCTTCATTGAAAAATCCTTTATCTTTACTTATCACTTTGATGAGGATGATGGACATGCTAGGTAAAGTCTGGCTCGGACTCAGACTTCCGGAATCTGTGGCATAAACAAGGCTCCCCTGATAGACCACGCTGTGGTCTGGCTATAGAATGCCAGCCTGTTAGTTCACGCAAGAGACCCACGTCGTCATGCTATCGACATAGGCTTCAGTAATTCATTTTAGATATACTGTCATCTCAGCTGTGGAAAATCCCAAAGGGACAACTTATTTTTTTTATGTATGCTGAGAGCCAAACCATTCAGCTAAGCTATAGATCTGAGGAGAGAAAGGAGCTTAAATCAATTACTTTAGGTTGATTTTTCTCAACCAGGTACCTTCTAGTTATGTCACATTTGGAGGATATTAAACTGAGCAATATTTTCTTCTACAAGACCATTCTCCCTTAAAGTGCACCAAAGTCAAGATGGGAGGTGCCGAGGTCATTGGTAATCATACGATGGTGCTCAGGACTGGAAAATATTGTCACATCTTTCCCTAAACCCCCAAAGAGTTACAAAACCACCAAAACAAAAAGAGAAAACACGACTACCAACAACAACAACAACAACAACTGCTTTGATAACTTGTCAATGTTGTTGCTAGTGTTGATCTACAGGATAACTGAAATATCTTCCAAATCTTTTGTTCTATTTTTAAAAAACTGAAATAGCAATAGCAATAGCAATAGCAA